GGTGGGGGAGAAAGGGGAAACCGATCACAATGATCTACGCATAACCCCTTCCCTGGGGGGCGGACAATAGAAAGTGGGTGAAGGGAGGCACTGGACAGTGCAAGACCTGAAAACCAGTAATCATTATCAAGGGCTTATGAGGGAGGGAGTGTGGGGAGAGAGGGGAACATGAGGAGCTCATACCAGGGGCTCAAGTAGAAAGAAAATGTTGTGAGAATGATGATGGCAGCACATGTACTTGACACACAATAGATGTATGTATGGACTGTGATAAGAGTTTGTACGAGACCCCAGTAAAATGATTAAAAAAATTTTGGGGGGGAGGGTAAATTCTCAAATGCTTAAAATGAAACAACACGCTTACAAATAATCTATGCACCCAAAAAGAAATCACATCGCATATTAGAAAGTACTTTGGATGAAACAAAAACAAATGTATCCAAAATTAGCAATATGCAGCTTGAGCAATGCCGTAGGTTTTAAACACTTACATCAGGAAAAGATCAAACCAATAGGCTAGACAACGATTGAACAAGGAAAAAAAAGGTAAATGACCAAATTTCCAAAATCTGTCAATAAAGAGACATTACCACAAACCGTATGAAAATCACAGGCTAGCATGGGGCTGCTATAAGCAACTTGATGACAACTATCCAGATAACAGAGATGAAAATTCCTCAAAAGATAAAGATTACTAAAATTGACTTGAGAAGGAAGAAAAATCATGTGAAGGCTTAGGACAAGTAATTGGATTTGTAATTAAAACTCTTTCCACAAAGAAAAGGCTCAAATCCAGGTAGTTAGTTTCGCTGTTCTATCAAATACTTTATCAAATACTTTAAAGATAAAACAATCTTTCACAAACTTTTCTGAAAAAGAGAGGTGGAGCCATTTTCCAATCTATTCTATGAGCCCAATATTAACCCAAGGCTTTAAAAAATCATTATAAAAAAAAAAAACCGTGACCAATGCCCTTTATTAATATAAACCACCCAACTCCCCCCAAATGCTCGATAAAACACTAACAGTGCATTTTTTAATGTATACTATGCCAAAGTAGAGTTTATTCCAGAGATAATAGGTTGGTGTAACAACCAGTAATCAATTGTAATAAAAGGTATGAATAAAAGCTTAAAAAAAAAATAACCGCATGATCATCTTAGTAGACAGATATACCAAAAAGTGTAAGATAAAACCTAGCACCCATTCATGATAAAAATTCTCAACACAATCTAGAAATTCAAAATAATACACTCAACCTGATAAAGAACAGCTACAAAAAACTGTAGCTAATATCTCACAATGGTGCATTACAGGTGAGATCAGAAATAAGACGGGTGTGTGCACTAACTACTCAACATTGTATAATGAAGGATTAAAATAAAAATTTTAAAAATCAATACCAAAAAAATTCACTGCCATCAAGTCAATTCTGGGGACCCTTATAGGACTAGGCAAAAATGCCCCTGAGGGTTTCCAAGACTGTAACTATTTATGATGAGAGTAGAAAACCTTGTCTTTCTCCCATGAAATGGTTGGACACTGTGGTCAGCGGCCCAACATATAACTCACTGAGCCACCAGGGATGGTGGGTAAGATATTCAGGTGCAAAACACTAAGGGGCTAAGCTTAGGCCCCCTAGACCACACACAAAAACCAACTCAACAAGGACTGAAGTCTTTCCTAAGCACAAAAGCTTCTACTGTTAAACTTCTAGAGCAGTGGTTCTCAACCTTCCTCATGCCGCGACCTTCTAATACAGTTCCTCATGTTATGGTGACCCCCCCCAACCATGAAAGTATTTTTGTTGCTACTTCATCACTGTCATTTTGCTACTGTTATGAATCGGGCGATCCCTGCGAAAGGGTCATTTGAACCCAAAGGGGTCATTTGAACCCAAAGGGGTCGCGACCCACAGGTTGAGAACCACTGTTCTAGATGAACCTTAAGAGGAAAAAAAAACTTTGTGACCTTGGGTTAGGTAAAGAGTCTGACACCTACAGTAAAATCCACCAAAAAAAGTAATGTGATAATTGCACATCATCAAATTTACAAACTTGTCCACTTGCAAATAACACGCTCAAAAAACAGGCAGGGAGAAGATATTTGCAAATTATCTGTCTGATCAGGCTCGCGTACCTACGACTCAAGAATAAGATGACAAAAATCCTCAACATAAAAATGGGTGAAAAACGTGACTAGACTTGCGTCACATAAGCATGAGAAGATGCTCTGCATCATTAGTCACCAGGAAAAGGCAAAAAAGAAATCACAATGAGGTGCCACACACGCATCCACTCGAACGGCCACAATCAAAAGTGCAGACAGTATCAAGCGTGGGTGAGGATGTGGAGAGACTGGAACCCATGACGTGGGACCGCCATTTTGGAAAACAATTTGGCTGGTTTTTTGGGGTTTCTTTTTTTTTTTTAAGTTAAACACAAACTTACCACACGACCCAGCAATTTCACTCCTAGGCATCTACCTAAGAGAAATGAAAACCTATGTCCACACAAAGACAGGTACGCGAATGTCCACAGCAGCATTGTTCATCACTGCCCAAGGATGGAGGCACCACAAATGCCCATCGACTACTGAAGGGACAAACACAATCCGGCAGAGCCTTATACGGGAACACAACTCAGCATAAAACAGAACGAATTCTGATACACGTAACACCACGGATGAAACTCCAAAACATGACGGTGCATGAGAGAAACTGGACACAAAAGATTGCATGTGGTATGGCTCCCCTTGCATGACATGCCCAGCCAAGGCAACTCAAGAGAGAAGTGGATTGGTGGCTTCCATGGGCTGCAGGAGGGGGTGGGGACTAGCTAAACTCAAACAGGAGGGCGCTTTGTGGGGTGATGGAACGGTGCTAAAGCTGGTATGTGAGGTCGTTGCACAAAGTACTAAAAATCTTCACATTACACACTTACAGTGAGTGCATTTCATGGTACGTGCATTCTCACAACTCACTGCCATCGAGGCAGGACATGCAGCACTGCCCAGGTGGGTTTCCGAGACCGTAATTCTTTACTGAAGGAGAACGTCTCATCTTTCTCCCACACTAGTGTCTGGTGGTTTTGAACTGCCTACCTGTGGTTAGCAGCCCCAATACACAGCTCACTTTATCAACCCCCACCCCACTCCATAATTCACACGGAATGTAAACTACACTTCAGTAACCATACCGAACAGTAACACCGTCAGGAAGTTACAACAGAATGGTTCCAAGCTTTATGAAACACTTGAATATCATAATGGCTCTTTGTCACTGTCATCCTTATTAAGGGAACTATAATTAGCCACTAATCTTTTGAAAGTAAGAATGTCTTTTTTCTGTTAAATTCCCCTCTCCCTGCCTCCCCCAACCCAAAAAAGCCTAGGTTAGAATTATCAGGTTGTTACAAGAAACTAAACTGGTGGCCCTAGCGCTCAAATAGCTTCAAAAACGAATATACTTCATTTTTAAAATATCAGAAGTATAGGTATGGGAAGATTCAACTGTGTGCAAGTTGGCTTACTACTCTGAGGGGGAAAGTCAGTGCTCCACCTCACAGCCTAAGCCAACAAAATCCCAGACGACCTAAGGAGGTTTGTGCAAAAATGAAACAAGGGCAGGGTAAAGGTAGGGCAAGTCCAAAGCGAGGTAGAGGTGATCACTGAGCTGGCTTCAAGCGAAGGCGAAGTATTTATCAAACCCGTGAAAGTCCTCATTGAAAACCACTAGCACCAGGGAATGAGCAGGCCGGTCACAGAAGGGATGCGAATGGTCCGCGGCCCCTGAATGCACTCTGAAATTCTCCTTTAAAAGACTTGGCTTATAAGAAGAGGCAGCAGTCTTTTAAGAACAATACACACACACACACACACACACACACACACACACACACACTTCAGGAGGTTAAGTGGGTACAACAGCTCAGGCCTTCAGAAAGCCCATCCTTGTCCACACACACCTCTAAGACCCTTTCCCAGGAGAGCAACCAGGATGGAGATGGGAAACAGGTCTGCCCAGAGGTCCAAGTCAAACCCATGCAAAGCCAGAAGGAACCTTCTAGCAGGCGTGATTAAATGGACTGGAAGACACACACAATAAATGCAGCCACATATCCATTTCCAAAGAATCTATTTCCAAAGAATGGGCACACATGAACATGGGCTACCATGAGTTACAAAAGAATTCAACGCACAGACTCCTTCCTACCAGTGGTTGGGAAGGAGGAGCTTATTCGAGCCTATTGAAATGTGTTTAATATGACTCAAAAAGTGGAAGTGTACACTTGGCTCAGTTAAAATGGAAACAGTCACATGGGGCTAGCCTCTACCCGACTGGATGGGACATCTTTTACACCCAGGCCTGGACCAAGGCTGCCCACCCCATCCCTTCGGGAGAGGGTCTCAGCGGCCAGGGGTAATACACACACACAAGGCGGCCTTACCTCTTCCTCTTCTTCAGAGCCACTCTCCTCACTGTCAGATCGCGGTGCTACTTCATACCTAGAAAACATGCCGTCTGAATACACACCTCCCCGACCCGCGCACAAGGCACGGCCCCTCTGCAATGGGCCGGCACTCCTGGCCACCATCAGCCTGCTCCCACTCACCCAGGGTTCATTTCCAGCCAGGCCTCCAGCTGCCCTGCTTTGGGGGCATCTGTGCCCGTGAGGATCTTCCCGCTCTCCACGTGGATCACTTTCACTGGCAGGTCACTCATCTGGCTGGTCTCATCCAGAGGCTGAAAAAGAGGCCCAGGCAGACTTGAGGTGGCAAGTTCTTCCCCTCACGCATCCAGTCAAGAACAGGGTGAATCAGGGCCAACTGATGGTGAGCTCGCCCGCCTCCACGGCCAGAGGACAGCCCAGACACAACCCCAGTGGCGGTGACCGGCTTCACGTGGCAAAGCATTAGCGGCCCCACAAGAAGAAAATGGGGGCAATTGGCATCTGTAGAGATGGACAGTCATAGAAACCCTACTGAGCCATTCCCCCCTGTCCTGTGGAGTTGCAATGAGTCAGACACAGCTTGAGGACCAAGGGTCAAAATTCCGAAAAATGCACAGGTAAAAATATCAAATTGCATGAACCACTGGTATTAGACACACGACAGCGATTTCTGAGTTAAATTGATTGGCACAATTGTTTCAGTTCAAAATCCAAGCGTGTGCAGTGTGTGTTCTCCAGAGCCCTGAGCTCGAGCTTCACAGCTGCCCGCTGTCCTAGGCTTCTGGCATGAGAAACAAGACTGGAGGGCTCTCCCCTTTTAACACCAATGCCCGCTGTTCACTCTCGCTGGGCCCACAGTGCTACCCACTGAGACTGTCTCTGTGGAATTCAACAAAGGTCTCAAGTCTGTTCTGTTAAGCAGCTCACTGGACTACTTCAGAAGATCAATAAGGAACAAACAAGGAATTCCTCATTTTTGAGATGACAATCTTGGATAAACATCTTCCCCTTAATTGAGGCCTTCAAACTTCTTAGGAAAAACCTTCAGGATGAAGATGACTCCTGTCTCCCAGCCTCTGACATGCCCTGCCTCCTGCTCACTCGGAGGGCTGCTAGTCTCCAGGCACATTAAAGCTCATTCTCTGAGCAGCCCTCCGAGGAAGGCGACAGGGACCGCGACCCCTCGAATGGATGCTGCAGATGGTCTCGATCAGCTCCATTTATCCCTACACACTCCAAGGACCTAGGGGCCACCCTCTAAATTGAGTGAACTGCTCTCGGTAAGGCTGGGGTCCTCTGCCTTTACTAAACACTCCCTCGTGCTTCAAATGCACTAGCAGGCTTGAGAACCACTGGCTGAGACCAAGTAAGATCTACCACCAGCACAGGTGATGTCTGCCATTCCTGAATGATGACTTCTGGGAAGTGGTCCTGTAAGACTGCATGTGCGTACAACCAGAAAGTGCAGAGGTGATCAAGACAATAGGGGGAACAGCCAGTGGGCTGCCCGTCGGCGTGCCTCACTGAAGCTGCCCTGCAGGGTTCGCAGGGACAGTGTGAAGCAAGGTGCAGCCTAAGCAACTCTCGGTCCACATGATGAATGGAAGAGGACCAGGAACTGTGTGGACTGACTCAGGAAGCTGTCCAAAATGGTCTGATAGATGAAAACAATCCAAGCTATGCCTAGACACACCCAAATGACTCTGCAGTAATATAATGAAGATGTGTGCATAAAGACTTCTGAAAATTTAATCCAAGCGCCAACCTCTGCCATCAAGTTGATTCTGACTCACACAAGACCCTCCAGGGCAGACACATGAGAACAACTCGTCCAATGGACCACTGGGCCACGCAACCCTCAGTCTCCACCACCCTGAGACCAGAAGAACTAGATGGTGCCCAGCTACCATGGCCCACTGCTCCGGAAAAGATCACGTTTGTAGCTCCTGGATGGAGTGGGAGGAAAATGTGGGAACACCTCAAAAGCATACCAGAGACCATGCTTTCAATTCATCGTTTCAGACTCATTTTCCTTCCTAACTCTGTCCCTGGGTCGATGCTGTCCTGTTGCTCTTAAATGGCTGTGTATTTTAACAATTACTAGTTGTTTCAGACCGTAAGAGTGACTAGTGGCCATAGTCTTGGGGGTCCCATCAGTCTCTAGCTCACACAGTTCTCTCTGGGGAGTGGGTGCCTGGGGACATACTTGAACCACACCATCATCACTGACAGCTTCTGTGACTTAGGGAGAGAAGGATACGCCAGACCCAAGGTCTGGGCTGGGCTGACCATTCCACGAGCAGAAACCCTGCCCACTAACCTCGCCGTCCGGCCCGATTGCAGGTGTCTGTCCTTCCCCATTCTCTGCCTTCTGAAAGGGAAGACAGACAAGGTTACTCCCTGACCTGGGAGCTTGAGGCTGAGGCGACACACTAGAAAATACTAGCCCGCCAATTCTTGCCTTCTTTTTCTTTTTCTTCTTCTTCTCCTTGGCAACCTGAGCGGCCTTGTGCTGCCGCACCAGCTCCGTGAGGTTCGCCACATACTCGTCCGTCTGCTGCAGGAGGTAGGCCAAGCGCTTGTCCTTCTTCTGGTCAATGAGCTTGCGGTAGCCTTCCTCATCCTCAGCCTACGGAAGTGTGTCGGGTTAGGGGGCTGGCAAGCAAGACTGAGTACCCTCCAGCACACTCTAATTAGAAACACTTAAGGTTGGGAGGCGGGAGAGGAGCTTGAGTGTGTGTGTGTGTGTGTGTGTGTGTGTGTGTGTGTGTGTGTGTGTGTG